AGATTAAGCTGATATATATTTTTTGTTCTATGTGACTGTCATCAATCATTTTGGTATTTTTCTCTCGCTAGTAGAAATGAGTGTTATATCTGTGCTCTTTTTACAAGGGCATTATTATTATTATTATTATTTTAATACCAAACCATCATTTTTTTTAAATATTGTATTATATGATTGTTACAAATAGAATTAGATAAGTGCATACCTTGGATAGTTATCTAATCGACAAAGTTTTATTTATTTATATGTTTTATTATTTATTTATTTATCTTTTTAGTTTTAGTTTTTTATTTATTTATTTTGGTAAAAACACTAATCTTCAAGTATCAAAATAGCAATCCAAAATACACAGTAAGACCCACACACACAACAATAAATGTCACCATCCAAGACAGACTGCTCTCAGAACCGTATAAGAATTTCTTTGTTAAACACCTTCTACACTTACGAGTGTTACATAATGGAGTCTGCAGTAAATATCTTTTGAAACCTTATTTACGCACCGACGCGCGCTTAAAGCTCTTAGACAATCGGTATTTCAGATCAGTAACATCTATCTCTGCTCTCCCTAACAAATGCTGCTGGATATACTTGTACTTGTATACTTACCACAAGGGGAGCGATATATATGTATATGTATATATATGTGTGTGTGTGTGTGTGTGTGTGTGTGTGTGTGTGTGTGTGTGTGTGTGTGTGTGTGTGTGTGTGAGTGTGTGAGTGTGTGTGTGTGTGTGTGAGTGTGTGTGTGTGTGTGTGTGTGTGTGTGTGTGTGTGTGTGTGTGTGTGTGTGTGTGTGTGTGTGTGTGTGTGTGTGTGTACTCTCTCACACACACGTTTATGTGTGTGTTTTATCATTATTATTATCGTTACATAGTCCATCATTCCATCTCTCTAATATTTTGTTGGGAGGTTGTTTGGCCACTCTCGCCAGACTGAATGCTTAATCAACCGCTGTCTATTTCACACATACTCGTAGTCTCTATGAAACTACTTATACGCCATCTCGAAACATACTAAGTCCGTGGCTTATGCTGGGTTTTATGGAGCCACCACGCCATGTCTGTCGATGCGAAAGTCGAAAAAAATGTGATATATCTTAACGTTGATAATGCGATTTCGAGCAACCAGTTCCTTCGAAACCCAGTCGGCTCTACGCTTAAAAAGAGAGTATACATACAACCAACAAGGAAAGATTAAACCCACATACTTACAAATCAGACAGATGTATGAATTGTCTTCTCAATACATACAACATTCTTCATCCTACATCTCGTCCCTCAGGTAGAGAAGATGCTGGACGTGGTTGGCGCATCACAAGGAGCTCTCTTAAGATCATCCATCCCCGGCGAAGAACCGAGTACCATTGACGCAGGAGATGAGGTCAACATGGCTGTAGGCAAGTGGTGTAGTTAACTCAATTGTTAGTTTGTTATACAGCCACGTTTCATTGTTTTAGTTCATCGTTTCTTCATAGTTGGTGGTTTTGTTTGATGTGAGAGTCTGGTTAGTGAAGGATTTTTAGTTTGTTGTACAGTCGTGGATAGATGTAATGTTGTGAATGAAGCTTCTATACCTTTCTGAATTATAAAATGAGGGTTAAACTGTTTAGGTCTTTGAGACGGAATTCAAAACGTGTTTATTAGGTATTTTGATCGTGACTGACCTTAGTTTTAAGTCTACCTAGTTCATGATTTTTCGGCGAATAATTAAGGATAGTTATCTCATGTTTGGACTAGAACTAGCATTTAACGTATGTTTTTTTCTGTGTTTACTGTGCCCCGGTTAGCTTTAGGTATGACATTAATATTTTGTGTTTTGGCTAGCCTTTCGTCGAATACTTAAGGACTATTTCTTTAGCATTTGTTTCTATTTTTGTTATTTTGTATTTTATCTTTCCTTTTCTTTGTGTAATTGAGGCTGTGAAGTAATTTTCTGATGAATATTGGTTTGATCAATTAAAAAAATTACTTTTGCCTTTCAAATAGTTCTTGTTTTGACTATATAAGGATTATGGCTTTACATTTTGACTTGAAGATTAATATTTTGTGGTTTGGTTAGATTTAGACTTGATTAATTATCGGTTATTATTTTGGGTTGATTAAATCTATATATATCATTCTATCTGTTTATCTATCTGTCTGTCTGATATGTTTCATGTCACTTATGCTATTGGCTTTCCATCGTTAGTTTCTTCGTAACTGTTTCGAATACATCTATTTTTTATTAATTTTCCTTGTCATGTCTTTACGTTATCCCACTTTTCTTGTTTATATTTTCTCTCTTTCTGTGTTTATGATTCTGCTTTCCTTTTTGTCTGTCTGTCTGCCATTATTTCTTCCTTCCTTCTGTCTCACTCCTCCCATTCTTTCTCCGACTCTCTTGCTTCACACGTTTATATAGTTTACCTCCTCCTTGTCTCCTATCTCAGTTTTCCCTCCCTACTCTTTTTCTTTCTTTCTCTTTCGCTTTTCACTCCCGTTCTTTTCATTAAACTTCT